GCATGATTGTTCGGACTGTTTTGTTGTCATTTCTTCAATATTTTTTCAGTTTCTCAATACCCTCCTAAGTGATAATAATATCAATAGAGTTTATGTTCTTGGGCATAAATATGTTTTGGCCATCGAGCCCTTCAAAGACCTCATTTTGGCCCTTGCCTAGCAGCTCGGGTTTAAATGAGTCTAAGTTGGGACCAAAACAACTATTTATGCCCTGTGACAACTGAACATATTAAACTCTTTTGTTTTATTATACCATGCTCTTGAGGCATACACGTAATTTCTTCGGGCATTATAATTTTTATTTTATTTTAGTTTTAAAAATAGCTCAGATATTTGTCCTTGGATATTATCTGTTTCTCGAGGCTCACAGTTTTCCAAGAGCAAACTACTCACTTCTCAGAACAGATAATGTCCGCAGACAAATATCTGTACATATTTTCGCGCCAAATGGAGGTTATCGTTTATATATCCTGTGATGTTCTTGTTCTGCGAGTACGATGGAATCCACTGTAGGAAAAAGGTGGTGGCTGTACATTTTACCACAATGCCCTGTGAGCCTACCACAGCCTATAAGGCACAAAGAAAGCCAACTTTTTTTACAGTATTCATCTTTGTTCCAAGGACATTAAGTAGCCTAGGTTTAAAGATTTTATAAGGTTTCTGTACGTTTTTATGAACGTTGCTATGGTTTTCGTGTGCTAAAAACCGTGGGTAAATGTACCAGTCGCCATCTTTTTTCCTACGTACATAGGATCGGATAAACATAGCTTTAGTAAACAAGATCTAAGTTTTATTCCAACATGGCTAACCGGTATTGGTACCAAATGAATGCGCATGTCTATACTTATATGAAATACCGCTAATCATTACATATCCAGCATGTGCTTGTGGAATAATTGTTAAGTCCCTCGTGAAGAGCTTGTTTCATATTTTAGAAGCACTCTATATACCCTCAGCAAAAAAAAATTGGAAATTCCTTTTGATCAAAAAGTAGCCAAGGGGCTTGAATAGCAAATATATCAGTAACGTTATTAGTATGCTGTTATTTGTATGTCAACCAGAGAACTAGTGGCTGGTGGAGCAAAGAGTTCTCTTGATTAATTTTTTTGCACATCTAAGCCTAAACAACTAAAGCAATTTTTGTAAACTGATAGCTTAAGACTTGTAAATTAAGATAGAAACTAGCTACAGTTACTCGAGTTTCACGCTTAAAGCGATCCTCAAACTGGTGATCGCTTTAAGCGTGAAACTTGAGTAACTGTAGCTTTATTTGTATCTTAATTTGTATTTCGCCCTGTATGTATTTGTATCGAGCACTTCTACAACTGTGTGAAACCACTTCCATTTTTCTTTGTTCAGCTTAAGACGTAAATTTTGTAGGAGCTTAATTTTACGCACAATGTACATCAGTACAGAAACGAATATTACCGATAAACCATTAACACTTATTCTTTCTTTTTCTTCAAAACTACAAACCTCTCTGTGTTAAACAAAAATATAAACCAGTAAGCTTACCGCCATCGGTCACGATGAAAAGATCAGTTTGTTTATCACCATTGAAATCACCAAACGCCGCTAAATATCCATCAACCACTGAAATACCCACGCTCTCAGTTACATCACTGAAGGAGGAAGACACCTGCCTCCAAAAGAAAACTAAAAGACCAAAACAAAGAGGAATTCGCATCTCATCGTTTGTGGATCTTCTTCATAGCGGTTGAAAATAATATCGAATAAAATCAAGATGTCAGTGACTGCTCCCGCAAAAAAGTACCCAGCGGTCTTTTTGAAAACACCGGTTTGGGAGTGTAGGATTACACGTGACGTCTTCTGTATGTCACTTCCCCACCGTTCACCTTCTCCAGGGAAATGCACATTTGATCGCAATGCAAAACAAAGAAAGGCATGTTGAATATCGTTAATTTTGCCTCCGAAAGAGTTGATCGCTTCCAACGACAGAACGCTGTAAATTTATAGCAAACATCTGTGGTAAGTTACAGGTTGACATATTGCGAAGTTAGACCAGCACTATACTGCGCACCCTTTGTTTATGTTGAATTAAATACCTTGTAAAAAGTTCTTATTTTAGTTATGTTTCATTTTCTAAGGTATTACATGCAAACATGGAAGAGGTAGGGAAAGAAGAGGGAGAGCAGATTTATGACGATATTGAAGACACAGAGGAAGGGAAACCGAACAGAAATGGAGAATTCTTAACTTCAAGACGTCGGGCAGCTGCTGAGGAAAGTTCCGCAACGACAGCTAACATTTCTGCTCCGACTGAAGCTACGGGAGATAAAAAGAACATTCTACACAAGCTCAGGAACAAGTTTCGTCCTCGTAAGTCTACCGAGGATTTCACCAATATTGCTGGATCTCATGAAACGAGTGATTCATGGCCGGTCGCGTATGCAAGCATCGACTCGGAAGATGAGTTACCCACAACTACCAAAAGACCTGCTCTAAAAAACACGCAGAAAACATTTAGTTTTTCGGGCTTTGCAAAAGGTCGGTTTGCGGGCGCTTCTCAGGCTGAGCGATCTCGATCAAAAACATTTACCTCTGGAATACATGGTAAATTTGAGGAAGAAAAAACAAGAGAGGATATGTTTAATGTACCCAAAGAAGCAGCTGGGGCCAGCTGTGCTGCTTATTCACGCACAAAAAGCTGCCTATTTGACGCACACGAAGTTCCTTTTGTGGATTCTGCACGGAAAAGGGCATTTTCTTACCACGAAGACGTTCCACCTCCCATACCTCCTCACTCTCGCATCATCAGAAAAGAGCAGTGGCGAGAACGTGCTAAATCATTGTCACTGTCGCCTGACGAAACCTCTGTGAGTGACAAGAGTGAACATGCTAATACTCAGAAGCAGGCCAACAAGGTGGATGAGCCTTCTCATGACAACACCAAATGCCAAACAGCTACTTCTGGTACTGAATTGTCACTTACTAGATCCCTAGAGACACTGTCCCATTATAGCTGGTACTGGGGTCCTATTAACCGATATGAGGCCGAGGATAAGCTCAAGGGCAAACCCGATGGTTCTTTTCTCGTTCGTGACAGCTGCCATGAGTTCCACTTGTATAGTGTAAGCTTCAGGTCCAGAGGAAGGACCTGCCACACCCGGATCAGGTATGAGGATGGACGATTTGGCTTTTTAACCCCTACTGGTCTAATGGGAACTAAAACTGTTGTGGGGCTCATAAAAAGGTCAATACGAATCTCCCAAAAAGGAGTTTTATGTTTTTCTAATAGTCCAGGTTTCCTGGACACACCTCATCCTATCAGATTCACGACACCAGTGTCGAGGTTTGAAGACCTTCCCTCTCTTCAACATCTGTGCAGGTTTGTCATTCGACAAAACTCCCGATGTGATAAGCTTCATGAATTGCCACTACCACCAAAGCTCATAGATTATTTAGATGTAGAGAACCACTTCCTGGAAAACAAGTAGATGAAAAATGTTTCAAAAAATTATTTACACAAAATGGTTAGCAATATTATAATTACACTGAGGGACTACAATTTTAGAATGATCAGGCTGGTAATTTTATGTTACAATCATGTTTTTTTCTCTGAATTATAGGACATGAGGTCCAGTTACTTATCAGTGAATTATCAACTAGTGTACGATCACTAGCTAGTGTACTTTCAAACCATGGAATGGGTTTGATTTTTTTGTCCAGCAGCCAGTCTCCCACTTTCTTTTGCTCAGAGCCACCCACATTTCTTCATGTTGTTGTGAGTTGACTGTATGCGAAGTGCATCAATGGATACAAAATATGAATTCAACCTAAAGATGGGGAAAGGGAAAGAAGCAGATAAATGTGTCAAAATACTTTAGGATATTATTTTATCCCCTTCATCCCTTTTACCACCTTTAGTTTGATCTTCACTTGCAGTCAATTCACAACAACACAGAGAAATATGGGCAGGTCAGCAAAAGAAAGTTGTAGTGGTGGCTGTACAAAAATTCAAAACCCATCCACAGTTTGTTGATTTTCGTGGTACATAACAGATGCAGGGTGCTACCTTTCAGCATTGTGACAAAACTGAATCCACGACTTTCTTTATTACTTCCAACATTCATGTTGCACAGTTTGTTGTAACAACATCCCCAAAATCAGGTATCAGATGTTTGTTGAGTGACTGAAGCACAATAATCGAGAAAGACTACTGGTTGGGAGTAAATGTTGTGCAAGAATTTGGCACATGTAAAATATACAAAGGGATTTGACTTGACATAAGGGAGTTTAAAAAAACCCTGCATGAAGAAAGTCACAGAAAGGTTGCTATCTTTACCTCATGAAACTTTACTCGTTTACAACCATTTGCAGCCCTTGTATTTTTATTTGCAGAGAGTGATCACAGCTCTCTTGAAAACTAGTGCATTTGTAGTTACCAAGGGGGAAGTGTTTTGGTTATATTAATAAGCCAAATTATTCTTGCATTTCGATTGGTTCTTATGATCTGTCGGATTGTTGCCATGTTGCCGTGCATCTGTTTGATAATAGATCACAGAAGACGTCAAAATATGGTAATAACATCAGTGAAACACTTGGTTACTGCCACTTTTTTTTGTCTTAGGTCCATTTTGACATCATCTGTGATTTATTACTGAACAGATGCACTGCAACATGGAATCTATTTGTTAATATACTTTTATTGTTTATGAGAAAATAAAGATATTGTGTACGTTGTGTCTTGTCATACTTCAGACACATCTACATTGTACAGAAAGCCCTTAATTTAAACATATTAGGTCGTCTGTTGAAGTCTAGATACGTGCACACCAAGGACTGAGATCCATGGCAGTTTCTGTTAAGTCTTTCCAGAGCTGTTTACTTTTTTTATGGAAAAGTTAACAGAAAACGCAATCTTGATTTAAAGAATATCTTTGCTTGTAAGCCTTGTTTAAAATTAATTTATTGTTCGAAGATCAAATGTGGGATGCATTGTAGTAAAAAAACAAGGTAATAAAAAGCAATGTATTACGGTGAAAAAAAGCCAGACATTTTGACCTACTTTACAAATTAGAATTGGTGCCAGGGCTTGGGCACTCTTCAGCAGCGATAACAAATTTTCAGAGTAAGAAGTCTTCAAGAACTGTTGAGCAAAAACCTCAGTGGGAAACCTTAAAAAGGAAGCTATTTAAGTGTACACAACTGACTTGCAAATGGCAACTTCTGGTCATTAAACACTTGTAATTATTACACGTGTCCAATGACAAGAAGTTGTAATTGAACACCTAAGTGATTGCAAAAACAGTTGACTCATTGGCACAACTGTGAAGAAATTACAAAAAAAAAAAAGAATGGAGGAGTAATAGTACAGTTTTGTAGAGAAATATTAAATTATTAGTATCTTGCAATTAAATTATATTGAGAATGTACAGTTATGAAGGATAATTAACTGATATTTAATATATTGGTACAATATACAGCAGCTTAGTTTGTTACATATCTTTGTGCAACTGTAACATTGACGAGTACCATTTAGAATATTTGTGATATTATAATATCTTTGTACATAGATAACTGACAAGATTGTAAAATGCTTATTAAATTATAATTGGTAGATTACTATAATAGTTACAAATAAATTTATCACACTTGCAGAACATCCACAACATGTTTATTGGATATTAAAGAGTCAAAATCTTTGGTGGTGTTTTCATACTTGTACTATAAAGTGTCAATAAGCTCTCAGAAAACATGGCCCCAAAACCATGGACAAATTAAAGATTTTAAAGATGATAGCAGAGCTCCCGCGTGCCGAAGGTGCGCGAGTGGAGCCCCATACCATAGAAAATTTGAATTGACCCAAAACCCATTGATCTAAAAAATTTTGGTTGCCAGCGTGTGACTGTCAGTACGTCCACATGCCAATACCTTGAAAAATAAGAGAGTAGCACCATTACCATAACTACATCTTTGATTTTGGGCATCCACGTTATGGTTAACAGCTGTCGTCACAAGCCGTCTGCTGACCAGTATCACATGACCATATTGCGGAATCAGGTTTAGCGCTCATAGAGGTCACGTGTTTTTTTGGAGTTGACTGCTGACCAGTTACTGGTTTTTGATTGGATCGTGGGCTCAAGCCAGGTTATTACTCTGGAGGAGAAGAAGAGAGTAATAATAATAATAATAATAATAATAGATTTGTATAGCGCCATATCCAGGGCTCATGGCGCTTTACAGTAAAAAATGTTATTAAAAAATAAAATTTACATTAAAAATTTACATCAGTGATAAAAAATTACTAACAAATAAAATAGCTAAGCTGTAAAAATGAAAGTAAAACTAGGAATCATTAAAACCTTTAAATAAAAACTGACTAACTTAACTAAGTGACTGACTAACTAACTAACTAAACTATCTAATCTACTAATTAACTAACTAACCAAAAGTCTAGTTATAAAATTTGTTAAAAAGATATGTCTTTATACAAGTCTTAAAATCTGATAGCGAGCCGCTCCCTCATATTGTTCGGAAGAGAGTTCCATAGGCTAGGTGCTACAAAAGAGAAACACCTATGACCATAGCCTATTAACTTGACAGGTGGTACTTTCAAGAGGTTTTTGGAGGAGGATCGAAGATTTGGAAAGTCCCTGAGAGTACGTGCAAGGGCAAAATTTCGGCACGAATTAACCTCTACCGCGTATTTGAATTTTCTTCCAACATATTCCTTGCACAATCGTCTTTTGGAAAGTCCCTGATATACTGAGAATCTTGGAAAAATTCGGTACTCCTAGTGTGCTAAAATTTAACCGGAAAAAATAGTGAAACCACACGCTGAACAATTACATGCTCAGAATTGATAATTTTTTGAGTTTCTGATCCAAGAAAAACAAATCCTCATTTTCCTTTAGGGTTAGGGTTAGGCATGACCCGACGTATCTTGACCATTAAATCGTCACGTTCTCTGGAGTCTACATTCATCTAGTTTTGATTTTGCGTATTAAAGGCCGGAAACACCTAACGTTGAAGATTATTCAACGCAAACTGACTGAAAAATAATTTAGTTTTGAGAATAAATAAAATGTATGTATGTATGTAAGTCTACTTTCTCTTAGCTCTAAAAGGCCACAGTACGGTTACATATACCCTATAAAAAGGAATTTATAGGCCATATAGAAAAAGCAATCTCGCACATGCGTAGCTCGTGACACTGTCCCTTTAACTTATTGCAATCGTCAGTGGCTATAATCCTAACCCTAACTAAGCCAATGAAAACGCTCGAATTGCATTATCGAATGATCCAGTTTTTAATTATACATGTTATACAGATAGGCACATTAAAAAGTTAATCACTCGCCATTCTTCTCGTGGCTTCGCCGCTTAAGTTAGAGGTTCCACTGATAAAAAAAAAAGCTTTCCCGAGAGAAATCCGGCCAGCTACGTAGGCTTGTTATAAAGGGTTAAACAAAGGAAATCAAGACCGTGAGGGTGTTTGGATATCCGTACTCTACTAGCATAGTTTTTTACCATTTTATTTCTCCGTTTTCTTCTTGGCTTTCTTTCCGATTGAGAAGATATATCGAACACTCAAGACAGTGTTTCGACCGGCCACACTTTCAAACACCTCGAAGCTCGTCAAAAATACTCCGCTACACACACACATACACATACACATGTACATCGTATCTGCAACTCTCTTCAGTGTTATATTATAGTGTTTGAAAATGTTGTCAAACATGGTCTTTCGCATTTGATATTAATATTACTTCAAAATCCTAACTCTGTAAGTTGCCTGGTCAAACAGAATATCTACCCCTTACAACAAACTCGTGCAAGGGTCGTCCTCGAACAGGTAGAATTGTTCATAATGTTCATTGGAACATACCTAGGTTCAAAGAGGCCATTCACATCATCTAGTTAACAAAATCAACGGGAATAGTGGAGTAGAGATTCCAGAAGCATGTATTTTTATACTTGTTTACGAATAGCGTCTTTGATAAACAAATCGGCTTGTTTGACAGAGGTCTTCTCATTACTCAACGTTTTTCCATGTTTTAATTTATGAAATTGTTCGCAGGAAAACGTTGGAAATATCATTTCCGAGCCCCTGAAAGATAAACTTTCCTGCGGGATAGGGGCACGCCCCAAGACCCCCTAGCGGCTGACGTCTTCGGCGTTCGATAACGTTTCTAGTAAGTGCGTACTCCAAGAAAAATGCACGCTACGCCCCTGAAGCATGGATATCCACGATCAAGAAACACAACCAGTCCAGTGTATGTTTGAGTGTAGTAGGTAGATCGCACGCTGGTTCAGTTTCTTTCCCCAGTCACATCTCGTGCTATTTTGAACAGTATTTGCCTTTTGGCAAAGATTGGCCTCTTACGACCCGGCGCCAATTGGCTCTAAAGTAATTTATACGTGATCTCCAACTGATCTTTACGAACAAAGGGACAGGAGTGTACTCTTTGTTTCAGCAATAAATGTTCGCTGGAGAGGAAGATCGCGTGACGAAGATCGCGTGACGAGCCCAAAGAACGTCTGCGTAGGAGGTTTAGACCTGAACTAACACAACAACAAGAAGATCTACACAACAGCGGACCGTCGAGGGAACAGCTCACCAAAACAGGAAGGGTCAAAATGCACCAATCACAGCGGAGCATCGTGCTTTAGCAAAAGACCTCACCACCTGAATCCCCTCATGAGTCGATTTACATCTCGCGACCACATCGTGAGACAAACGATAATACTTCGATATTATTATTTTACTTGACAACAATGAACAACCGCAACCTTTTTTGACGGCATTAACTAGAAAGAACGTAGTTTAACATTAAATTTACAACAATGACAAGAATACTAAATTTAGTTAAAATAGCAACGTCAGTCAACAAAATCCTTAAAATCCCTGAATGATCAACCTAAAGTTTTAAACAGCACCACTTGAATATATATGTATATAGAGTGGAACATCTTCATTTAATTTTTAAGGGAACACATTTTCTTGTACCGAGGTTGTCCCCCTAAGGTTACCGTATACCTTCAGATCGGCAATTTTCTTCAAGTTTGGATTTTTGGATCAAAGTAATGGTCGAAGAGTAATCTTTAGTTTCCGAAAAAAGAAAAAAAATGGAAAAAGACGAAATATTGGCGGAGAAATAGAAGTTTTAGGTTATCACCGGAAGTAACAGTTTCCCTCTTGATTGACAGCCCTACAACGTGTATGCAGTCAACCGAGCCGACCTACGAATGTCACAAATTGGCTACTCAGTTTATCAGCATTGTTAATGTTGTTCCGACTACAAAGCATTTTTCGTATTAGGCGTAATTCTATTAGGTTCTAAGAAAACATGGACCACGAAAAACCCCGTGGACAAGTTCGAAAAAGCGAAAACTGCCAAGAACGAATGAAAATACATCAATGAGTGAAGAAGCAAAAGTTGGCCTCCCGGATGAAGCTATATAGCTATCGTATCAAAAAAGCGAGTCAAGAGAATAGAAAGGTTCTGTAAAAATTTGGGAACTTGACAGCGATAACAGCGATGTTATAAGAGACTCTTCTGATGAGTCGGCTACCGACGAATCGTCGGACTCATAATTGGCTGGATTTATACTACGGACGGATCATCCGTCTGGGATGAATTTAGGCAAAGAACGATAGTTCGTCCGATAATTCGTCTGTGTGTAAATACGGGCAAACAGACGGATCATCCGTCCAGACGCATTATCGTGATAGCTCGTCTTAACCCACGAACTTTCATGGATAACCGTCTAGACGGATGATCCGTCTGTTTGCCTGTATTTACACACAGACGAATTATCGGACGAACTATCGTTCTTTACCCAAGTTCATCCCAGACGGATGATCCGTCTGTAGTATAAATCCGGCCATTGACACCCATTGCAATATTATCCGTGCAAAGTTGTTCCGCCACGCTTTCTTTTCATTTGTTTTCTTCGCCCAACCACTCTAGCGTTCGTATCCTTTTTCGTCTTCCCCATTTTGCCAGATCAGCTTCAAGAAAAACCGAGCTACGAAAAAATTCTCTCCTCGCCTTGAGCGCATAGCGAAACACAGGGGTTTTTGAAGATTCGCGCGTAAATTTTACCAGGAGGTTAATGGTAGTAAACTTTCCCGACGCTGATTGGTTCAGTTATCTGAGAACCCAGTTGAAGGCGTTTGTGGGCGGAGTTTGTTTGGAAAGCAAGAGATTTTTCGCGCTGTTTTCTCGAATAGCTTTTTTCGCTTGAAGCTGACACTTAAGAGTTACAACTCAAAGGGAATTTATTCGATTGCCCTCAAATTTGGACGGCAGGTAGTTTAACATATAAACCAAAAAACGTGTCGAAATATTTTTTTCTCCAAGCCCGATGTTTGTACGATCACTTCACATTTTTTAAAATCCTATTTCGAAAATGTTCTGTAACTTTTTACTGCAAGTGAATATGGCAAAACGCAGACACCTTTGGGTCCTGAAACCGACGAAAAATCTAAATTGGAGAAAAACAAAATTCGCTTTGACTTCTAGCTTTCAAAAGGTGATTCGGGCGCTCGCATTTAGTGGTCGTGAAAAATTCGACCGTGCATGATCATTTTATTTCAAAATTCTTGATATAGTTTGATAGCCAGCTCTATAAGCTTTAATTTGATACGGGGGTTTAGGTATCTACAGCTTAAAGCGGACGCGCCACATCGCTTAGACGCGAGACACCCCTGAAGGTATACCAGAAACCTTAATGGAAGTTTAACGTATATTTCTCTGTATATTGCTGGTGCTGCCAGCGATTAGCTACAAGATAGTTGACTGTTTGAAAACAATAGTAACTGATTGTGAAAACAATAACTTCTCAATGCTCTTAGATCAAACAACTTTTAAGTTAAGACATACGTAAAGGTATTTCGGCTTAAGTAAGTCCAATAAAAGAAAAATAAAGGAATATAAATGGCTAAATTATAGCAAATAAAACTGATTCCCAATCTGTCTTACTTTAAATCACCATTCTCTATCTGAAAATTATTGACTTAGGTTTTAGCAGTTGACAGACATGCACGCTGGATATAACCAGGCAGGGTGCCTGAAGCTACCCGTTGTCACAAGTAAACACCTATTATGTGTGTAGCCTTAGCACTTTAAATTAAAGTTACAGTTTTAAGAACGGCAATGGAAAGCTTGTAACGAGAAAATAGGGACAATTTATTAACTACCAGTCAAATCATTATATATGCCATTCTAATCTTGCGTCTAAGAACGAACTTCGACAATAAAATGACTCTTCATATGAAAACTACAGCACTTCACAATAACTGACCGATGACACCAATAAGATCATGATCAAAAAGGACTTAGAGAGCTCTATTATTATCCTGCATGCGCAGTTATCAAAAGCACACCACATGATTAACATCGTTGTTTAATATCTTGTCGTTAAGATTAAAGAATCCCTTTGAACTATTTCAATATATCTTAGCAGGAACTCTTAAGGCAGTATCTCATCTGTTTCGACTGTTCAAACCACTCATGTTACGCACCTGAAATAAAGTAACAATAACATGTAATGTTATAACAAATTAAAACAGTCATATTTAGCAATACATATTACTGAAAAATTGAACAGTGCATCTCAATCTTTCAATTTAGGCTTGGCTAGTTTCATTCTTATTTTCAGATTACGATATAAAAAAACACAGGAAAAAGACCTTAAGCAATCGGAGTTGAAAAAGTTCAAACCATTGCAAATTTCAACAAAAAGATTAAGGTATTAAAAAGAGAATTCCAGACAGTTCAATTTCAGCTTCCGTGAGTTTGGCGAAGTTTCATGGGCATAAATAGTAAAATATAAATTGCATTGGAGCTTAGCATGCTGGTCTTGAAAATAATCAGTTACTTCGAGTACATTTGTGTTGTCACGCTGCCAAAATGTTTTGGGACTCACTGTCTTTGGATGAGAGATCTTTGAAGGCTTTCAAAACTAAAAACCTAACTAAACTGCAAAAGATATGATATAGCAGAGAAAAGGTAGCAATTTGTATTGGATTGACACCCAAATCCCTTGAGAAAAGGAAAGTTTCATGATCATTCATTGTTTTTATCCAATTGAATTTTTAACTAAACTGAGAGATGTGTGCCATGCCACACGTGAGCAGCTTAATGAAAGGAAATTTCACCAGGGATCATGTGCATACAACAATCCACAAATGAAAATGATCAGATCTTGTTGCAGAGGAAATTGCAAGTTAGAACTCTACTCTGGCAAATTTTCTGACAAAGGTTTGCATTAGTTTGTGGATTTTACAGCAGCCTCTTATCGCGCCAGCTAGTTTTGAACTCATGCAATTATCTCCACAAAAAAATGATTGTTTTTCACACAGACTTGAACAAAAGCTTAATGAGCTTGTAAGGGATGCACCTTATCCAATGGGGATAAATATTGGGCTAGAGTATTATCTATTTGATCACTGGATAGTAACTTTCCTGACCATCATAATATATACAACTGGGTTGCGATTTCTGAATATAAGCATATTACTTATGTACTCTAATAACAGGACTTCCTTTGATACCAGTGTTTATTACACTGACGGGGTTATCCTGTATAATAATTATTATTATTATTATTATTATTATTATTATTATTGTTGTTGTTGTTGTTGTTATTATTATTATTATTACTATTATTATCTTTTTGACCAGATAGTGTTTAGCGTAAACAACATCGGAGGGGCTAGCACATTCGAATTCGGAGGTTTTTGTTTCTTGGTATCATATTCAACCCATGTTGCAATTAAAAATTACTCCACAACAGTTTGTAAAAAATGCATTACAACGTAACCAGCTCCCAGGTGGTTTTATAGCTCAGTTGGTGGAGCACTGCACCGTTATCGCAGAGGTCATGGGGTCGAATGCCATTCAAACCTGAATTTTTTTTTCACGCTTTCATTTCATGTTGCCGTGCGTCTACTCAATAACAGATCACAGATGACGTCAAAATGTGGTACGAGTAAAAACGTGGCACACCCTGAAAAGATGAAGCAACGGGAATGTCCGATCACAGAAGCTTTTTGGAATAGCGTTCAGCAATTTTTCGTCTCTGTTGATTTAATACCAGTCTTACAAGTTTTAACTTTATGCAATGTTTCGGTCTCAAAGGAGAGACCTTATTATTTGACGCAATTTCATTAAAACAGTGTTCAACTGTCGGACCATTTATGATGCAAAAAGTATCATTTGACATGCTTTTGCGATTTACTCGAGATCAAACCTTCACAATGTTATTATTTTTGTATATTCTACTTGCCACACATCGTAGTTTTTAGGGCGTTGGTATAAGCTTTTCATATCACATCTGGTTCGCGATAAATTCATGAAAAATTCACGAGAAATTCATGTAACGAGACACCTTATTAAGTTGTGTGTACGACTGCGATTATCAATCATACTCTCACATCTTTCGCCGCATTTCCAGTAAATGAACTATAAAAGATTCACTTGTAAATCCAGTTTAACTTACTGTGGTAAAGGCTGCAGATAATAGTTCAGCTGCATCTGATCCAGCCTTTTCCAACTAAGAGAAAACAATACAAGAACATTGCCATATTGTTACATGTAATTAGAAAACACCCTCCACAAAATTAACGCTTGTGCTAAAAGCATCACTTCTACTTAACAATAAATAATATATGGAGAGCGAATAATCTAATTGATGTAGCATACATGTAAGTCTAGAAGCCGTTCAAAACTAAATCCTAAATCCTCTTCGCAGACACTTCGAAAGCACAAAGAAGCGGCCAACGTTTTGTTAACAACCGCACCTTGCTACAACAGAATAGATACATGTAGCAGTAGTGAGTAACGAGGCCAATAAGAGAACGGCAAAGACATAGTTTATTTTACTTGGACAACACACTTAGTGGGTCCCATAGATTTGACTTATAACCAGAATCTACAGGACGCACAAGCTAATTTACAGGAGCGCCAAGAAAACGAAATAACAAAGTAAAAATGTATGTACAATTAAGACCATAATTGTTCGTATTCTCGGTATAGGACTGGGACTAGCTTGCAACTAACGCTAATGCAGGGATTCTTTTCAAATGTAAATGACATCAATCTCTTTTAGTGATATTCCCCTGCATGAGCCCCATTACCAGAAATGTAGAAAATACTCGCCTGCGGCTCGTGTTTTCCACATTTCTCGAGTGCAGAGTGGAATTATTCATTTCTGAAGTGAAGTACATGTACGCTTTAACAAAAGTTCAAGTTGTTGTTATGTTGTTGTTTTTTAGTAGTTGTGAGCATGCGCACAATTTACACAATGTAAAGCTTCCAAATTAGGTATACACTCTCACTACAACCCCAGATTATAACATTACTGAGACTGAGTATTTGACACACAGCAAAGATGTGACTTCTCAAAAGAGTACAAGGCAATGTAAATGTAACTAACATTCGCAAAAACTATTGTTTTCTTTCAGTGGGAAACAATCACTTACTGTTGTTTTTGCACTGATAAGCAAACCAATATCTGACATCCTTCTGTCAAGAAAACTCCACGTTTCTTCAAAATCAGGAGACCTATCACTAACCATATAAAGTTCTGAAACAGTATTAAGATTCAAAATATCATCAGATTGTCACTTTGATGCAACTCAATCCCTTAAATCGCATCATGGGTGTACTTTTGCGATATGTGGGTTTTCACAATTCAACATTCATAGATGTAGCTGTAAATCAAAGAGGCTAGAGCCACTCAACTTGGAAAATCGCTTGTCTGTAGACAGTGGCAATTTTGACGCTACCAAAATGATTTGTTAAGAACATTTTGAGTAAAAAGATCTGGCTTATCCACTTGTAAATGGTTTAAACCCAGGAGTATCAGTAGTTCGTATAGTGTGATCGTCCGGGTGAGGGTAGTTCTGAAAAGAACTGTTGTTGGTGACTGACGTTTCGACAACCTGACCGGAAGTCATCTTCATTCACTTGACTCTAAAGATGACTCTGAAGATGACTTCCGCTCAGGTTGTTGAAACGTCAGTCGCCAACAACAGTTCTTTTCAGAACTACCGTCACGCGGACGATCACACTATACGAACTAATTATCCATGTGTATTTACAGTAATTGGCAACAATATATTCATTGGCAGGGAGAGGGATATGCACATTGTGCAAGTTACTAACCTGTGGAACCATAGAGCCCAGCCAGCACTCCTCTCTTTGTGTACCAGTTTATCTGCAAAACATCACAAATAAATCACCCAAGCTGAAGATTATCCAAGGAGGAAACTTGACTGTTAGCCTTACAGTAATTGACTGTTTGGTTCAATATATCAAAAGTTATTAGCATTATATCATTATCACTTCTGGGTAATTATCATGAACCTTTACTAAGTGGATATAAGAGGTGGTTCAAACTGATCTTGAACAAGAAATTAAGTATCAAATAAATGTTATTCAATAAGCAGAACTACTGTTAGAAAACATTTTTTCAAAGAAAAAAATTAATGTACATTAATGTATAGACTCTAAGAACTATGAAATATAATATATTATAATAATTATTATAAATACAAATGAATTCACCATGTTGAATACTTACATCTGTAGAGGTATCACCAGCATGGTACCATATTTCATCCACCATGTATGCAACATTTTTCGTGGCATCTGGAGCATTCTGAGGCAATAGCATCAAACCCATTGCCTACAAACAAATAATTACAACAAGTTATTATATGTCTCAGTTAGTAAGCATGCTGTGATTGGTCAATTTAGCAGGCCGTACTTTACTGTATGGCCAGCTAGCTTTTGTTGCCAAAAAGTTTCATGATTTATCACTAAGTGTTCCTAACTTTTATAACACGTAAAAGTTTTAAAACTTTCTTTTACCTCTGAAATTGTGTAAATAAAACCTGCTAACGACTTAAGAGTCACTTAACAACAATTTCAAATTGAATCGTTTTGTGCGTCAGAAATTTGAAGCCGTTCTGCGTGAATAGAAATCATTACTGAACCCCTCAGATGCAGTAGAGATATAATAAATATCTTAATAACCTCGTTTTCCCTGTTCATATTGTTAAGTTACGGATCCTTGTTTTTTCCCCTTCAATTTACATGTATAGCCTGCACACTTCATGCTTGGGCCATAAATCGATGGGGTAAAAACTTGGTCCATAACTTACAGTACGGCCCTTGGACTCGGTTAGTAAGAGGTATAATCACCCAGATTTAAAGTTTATTTTAGTGTATCTCATATTTCAGTTGTTTTTTTTTTCATATAATCGTCGCATATTTGAGAATCAGTTTCTATATTTTTAGTTTTTAACATGTCATCTTTTTATTCTGTAAATATTTATATGAGGGCCACTGGTTTTTCAGTTACTACTGTTATGTGCTACCCTCAATAAATAAAGTTGATTATTGTCATTATTATTATTATTATTATTATTATAAAGAGTTATTAATCCAATAAAAATAAAATTTCATTGACTTTTTACAATGCAACATTGGCATAATTGTACACTCAAAAAAGTTAACAAAACATCATGTTACTGTTCACATAAATTATAATAATGTAGAAAACAGTCCTAAGAAAATATGCGTGCTGATTGGTTAAAAAGCGTGTTTCTATAACTTGATAGAAACACAGAACTAGCACGAGCTGTTGACGTAATGACGGCATGAGCAGAGAGAATTTACATTTTGATTTAATCAAAGTTAACAAGATGTTTTCCTTTTTTCGTCGCGGTGTTTTCTAAGAGAAATAGAAAATATGTTCTCCGTGTTTCTATTGAGTTATAGAGCTATTTCTTAATTAATTTGTGTGCAATAATTATTATAGTATTATCATGTTCATGAGGAAGTTAAGACTAAAACAGCATCTAGAGCTACATGGTTTTTGTAATAGTAGTGAAAATGGTTCATTTTAGAAAAAAAGGTCCAATTAAACAGAATATCAAATCCACAATTTTTAAACTTTGATTGAATCAAGTCATTACCTGAGGCCACTGACCAATGTAAGGAATAAGCATTCTAAGTCGTACTTCAACAGCGTCACGGATAATCAAACGGGAACTTTTGCGCCTGAAGGGAATTTATTCTCACTATTAAAACATACATTGGTTACTTACAATATTAATAATTCTCAAGAGTTACATTTTGGTTAACTGTAAACTGTCAACTGCAGGTTAATGAAAGTACCAATAAGTTATTCCAAACAATGTATAAGCAAATTACAACTCGATGTGTTGTTTAGTCCAATGCAACAACTAAGGTTCTGTACATGTAGTATAATACATTATACTTAATGTACATAAAATAGGACGCTAATAAAGGAATGTGGTGTTTTACTGTTGTTATGTTGGGTTGCTGTATCTTTCTATATAAATTTAAGTGTCTATGACAGATGTTTTTTTTATTTGTTTCATGGAATCTACAAGATATTGTGATATGGAAATTGGAAAATAAAATTGGATATCATTGTTATTTGACTGCATTAATTTGCTATCTAAAAAGGTAAAATTTCACCTCCAGGGTCAGAAACCGCAGGGGATTAGCACCTGGGACTAGTCAGGCTGTGACATCAAAACAAGAACATTAGCCTACTTATCTTTTGTAAATGTTTACAAAATTTAAAATTGGAATTACTCTTGATTGCCTAATTCATGGTATACATACATGTATTTCACTTATTTTTTCATTCCTATTTGTTTGGTTTGAAAATTCGATGATATCCAACATTATTTTTCAATTTCCATATCACAATATTGTGTAGATTCCATAAAGCACATAAAAAAATATCTGTCATAGACACTTTAAGTACATGTAAGCTTACGTACAACCCACAAAATTCATGTGATACACACTGATGATGAGATCATTGTAAATACATTTAATCAATTTCCTGATCAGTACTAAAAGCCAAAATGTACTATGAGCAAACTCATAAATTTCCTGGTACATGATGACTGACATGAGCTAACCTCTGCGTAATATGAAATTACTCTTTTCATAAAAAAGTTATGTTTTAAAGAGGAAAACTTAATGCAACAAGCGAAGCTTCTTTAACTGAAAATAGGTCATTCTGATGGCAAACTTTCACAAAGATCTTTTCTCCTTACTTCATGCCCACAGCAGAAAGGTTATTTTAAAACTGTTTACCAATTTGTATGACAACGCTGACAAACATACATGCAAGCCAACCTTTTCATTACCCTTTCCTAAATTTCTCTGCAACACCTATGTCACCATTGTATGACATACACATCAACAAATGAGATTAACACTTTTCCCAAACAACAAATGAACCAAAAACCATCACAGTTGGGTAACACCTAGGGATGTCAAACAATATACAGGGTTAGGGTTATGTACATGTACATGTATGTCCCCGCAAAACAGTGGAATTGACAAGGGAACTTAACAGATAATCGACCAACCTTAATTTGCATAATCTCATCTACCACTACAATCGCACCTTACTTGAGCAATCCACGGGTTAAAAAGGAAAAAGTTAAATATATTGTATGTAGTATACAAATTTTCCCTATTTCAGACCCCATTTCCTACCATAGGAAACAGAATTAATGAAGGAAAAAATCAAACACAAAAAACATTGAAGGGAGTCTTTCTGAAAAATATTCCAAAGAAAGATGAAACGCTGTAATAGATCTTCAAAAACTCATTAAAATAACTCATCAAGTTTAAGCAGAGGAAATAAGATCTGAAACAATGGTTTGGAATTAAGCGTTAAAAAAGAAAAAGAAAACTAGAACCATACAAGTTTGGATACATATTCGTATAATCTATTTAGTATTCAGTCTTCTCCTTAGTTTTATATTTATCAAATACTCAAGAGAGTGCTTCATCGTTTATCCAAATACATGAAGTTGCAAATACCCCACCTGTACATGTAACAAGTGTTAACTTTGTTATCAGATAGGAACATTGTACTGTGACTTAAGAGCAATTCTAGTCAATTTTACCAGTGAAAAAGAAATTGCTCTGTTTCTATTTTAGGAAGGATGCTAGTCAGACCCCTGCCACAATGGTCTCTATGCCTTGCCATTAATATGGTAGCTTGCATACCTTTAAGACCCCTAGAGCTATGCCAGCTGGGGCGTTCATGCCCCTGGCAGGTTCAACCATGCTGAACAAGTCTAGGGTGTGGAACCAGACAAAATTAGACACCCTGGCACTCCAGGCTGGGGGTTGGGCATAGGGCTAACAACCCTACTCCCAACAAAGACTAAATGTTACAGAAACCTACATGTACAGCAGAACCAAAGCTGACGCTCCAGAAACATCGCAGCACAAGCAACTTGAGAGCCTAGTTTCTGTCGCCATAGGAAAAGATCAAAGTTGGCTTAGGAATGTATGCATTATGCATCAGACTGGCAAGCTGGCTCAAGTCGTAAAGGAGATGGACAGATACAGAATGGAGGCAATCAAGATGAGTGAAGCAAGATAGACAGGACCAAGAATGATAAAGGAAAGATTTGAGCACAATCCAGAGCATCTTCTGGCCAAATGTCATCTTGAACGACAAATTATGCCTCTGGATTGGCCATGTCCTCAGGATGGAGCCACCTGCCACCCCAAGTCACCGTGCAATGGACTCCATCCTGGAAAAGAGCAAGAGGAAGACCAAAAGAGACCTGGGCATGAACAGTAGAGAAAAAGATGTGGGCAGACAGAGCCAGCTGGGGAGAGCTAACAATGAAAGCTAAAGATAGAAAACAGAGGCAGTTTTTGATAATGGCTTCATGTGCCCAAGGGCACAAAGAGGATTGAGTGAGTGTGCTCATGCCCTTGGTCAGGTATCCAAATTACTGCAGCTATACACTGTAGTTTAACTATGATTTTCTTGACTTCAGTTCTATTTTGTGTTTTGTAACAAATTCTCTTTTAATTATCATCTTTCAATTTATTCTTAATTATTTTTTACTTTTGGGTGAGGTCAGCCAGGAATTTAAAATTTTTGCGAGGGGAGATACTGCACATGTAGGGTATGACACTCACCCTGAGCTTGCAGAAGATTCCTCTGGATCCTTCTGTACTCTTGACTGTGATATAAGGTAATCAGCTAATCTAACATTGCAATCTTCAGTAAAATGAAGCACTAAGTCCCCAGCTCCTCGTGGGAACATGCCTTCAGCCATGGCAGATAGTCCCATAGCTTGTGCACCAGCCTCTATGGCTTCTGAACTCCAACCAAACTCAGGGACATGTTCAAGTGCAGCATTAAGTATACTTCTTCTCATGTCTGCATCTTGTTCTTCTGCATCAAAAAATGTTCCCTCACCATCACCGAAGTGCTTCTCATCCTCACCACTGGTGCTAGTACTGGTTTCTTTATCACTGACAAATAAAGAAAAGTTACTAAGGAAGGTGACTTTCATTAGCAATATACAGTCATGTATTCAAGCATACTGAAAGCAGCCAAGCAAATGCTTAAAGTCTATAACCAGAAAATATAACCTTTGATTACAAGATAATTTATTATGCATCGACAACATTAATTAACAGTGCTTTCATGAAGATCAAGCACTCCAGCAAGTATTAATTCTGTTACAAATTACTGGCTGTTCTCTAAACTACAGAGAAGTTGTTAGGGGCCTCTCATATTGCTCTCTAATTGGTGCTGCATGACCAAGCACATTCACTTACTTAATTGTTAGCTTACCCATTATTAAGCTTTCCTTTCTCTTCTGAGAAGCTTTCACAAGACTGTTGTATCCATCTATTAGATACACCTGTATGTGGAATACAGTAAGTTTAGTACTGTGCATAAAGGTTAAAAGCTCCTTCTTCATGAATATGAACTTACACCCAAATCCCAAGCAAATGTAAGAATATTTCCACCAATGCCTTTTAATAACCTGTACTGTAAATACCAAAATCCAACATCATTCAAGGATGAAATTTCAATCAGGGATCTGTATATTACCTTTTTACAAAACCATTTCAGATTTAGTTTCCCCTTCAGTATACATTGTATGGCAGAACATTTGTTTGAAGGACTAAAATCATTTGTGGAAAGATCTACATTGTAGTCTATAGCCTATCCGTTTTCCATCCTCTTCATTGGTTACCAAGAGAACCCTTGCATACAGCAGCTGTGCCCGCAGTATTTAAGCGACAGCTTGCACTGTCCTCCTGAAACAAAACAATAAATATGCTGTCCTACCGAAACAAAACAATGATAGTCTTTTTCTTCACAGCCAACAAAAATAAAGACATTGCTAAGGTTGATTTGGCCTTTTCTAATAGTTAACTTGAGAATTCCAGGTTTAATTTGATGATGAACAGCCTATTTTGTTCAGAATAACACAACTAATATCTTACTTGGTTACACTTGACGAACTACGAGTGAGTTGCCGCTGACTCATTTTTGGAGCCAAATTAGAAGCATGCAGACACAAAATGTTTCATATTTGTCACTTTTTGCAATTTGATATAAAGTTTTTCCCACCTGCTGAATCCTGATTGGCTAATTTAAACTTCAGGTGCACCAGTTGTATGTAAGGAGAGAGGTCATCTGCCATTCTCTATTTTCCAATTGCCCATAATTCACTCTGTTTGCACCCCAAATTTTGCTTAAACTACTGTTGTTGTGAAATGCTCTTGGGAATATGCAGACCTCCCAAGAGCATTTCACAACAATAGTTAATGCAAAATTTGTGGGGGTAAACAGAGTGAATTATGGGGAATTGGAAAATGGAGAATGAGATAAAAGTGATATCTTCCCAAGGTATTTTTTTTTTCTCAGATGTATATGTCAGGTATATATCGACTTTAGTCCGTAGATGTCCCAAAATGTTGCCACTCAAGTGAAAACTGTTGATGAGAGCATTCTAGATATTTTATTTCATGCGATACAAAGTGACTTTAGTTTTATTTTCTTAATTAAACCTTAAGAGTTCGCTTAAGATGGCTCTAATATTTCAGCTTTTCTAAGTGACATTAACACTTGTCTTATTTTACAGAATTCAAAGCCTTTGAATCCGCGGCGCAGTCTTTACAGAGCAGGTTTCTCTTGGGTTTTGTAACTGGTGATACAGCAAGAACCCTGTAAGTTGATTTTCTTTCCTTTTAAAAGTAAAACTTGTGTTCCATATATTCCGTCTTCTGATTGGTTAGACACGCTCATTATGGCTGCAGTGATTGGTTTGTGTGATCAATGTGGGTTAAAGGTAAAGTGACCCCAAGTTGTTTTGATATTTTACAGATCTTCTGAGTATGGCCTCACTCTTCCCTCGCTTTTGGTGTTCAAGCGAAATGATCCTTATCAGCCAATTAACGTCTTTGATGCCAAGTTCACCATCCAGTCCATTGTTGATTTTGTTCTTCGATCCAACCTACCGTCATTTGTAAGTATTTTAAGTCTAACGCAACATTCTTTTCCCTAAATTTCTGGTTTCTTCTTCGTGTACTGAACACAAATGACGAAAAATAATGGAAACAATACTGAACCAAAGATACAGCGATTCGCAAACAATGGTTAAAAGTTTCCCATTTGCCTCCGGTACCTCGAGAACGAAAGGAGCCGAAGTTCTTCACACTAATATATTGAGCAGCATTTTCATGGAGTGCTGTTTATTCAACACTACCTTTGAAGTCTGTGGATGAAACCCTGGTGTGTGACCATTCAAATGAAAGCTA